AGGTATTATTTATAGTTTAGTTTTTAGGGTTTTTGCACTGCCCTCGATATATCCCGTTTCTCCCTGTTTTTTTTTAATTTTTCCGCATTTTCTCAAATGTCAAGTACGCTGGGGACTTTAACCCTATTTTCCATCACAATTACTATATTTTTTGGGTTCCTGATTCAAAAAGTTTCCACATTCTGTACCAAAAATTGAAATCGGTCCATATTCTGATATCTCCCAATCTGAGGTCTTTTCAAGGTTTTGACCCCATTCTTCAACGGAATTACAATAATCTGGAATTTGGAATGGTCTCCTCTGCACGAAAAATTGAAATATGTCCACTTTTTAGTACAGTTGCCATGTAACGGAACTACCCGATTTCAAGTTGTCTGAGGATTTTGACAAAATTCCCAAAATTTCGTTAACTTGCCACAAAAATATTTTGAGACCAGTACATACTTATGTATAGCCCCATTAACGTTACCTCCCAATTTCGGGTATTTTAAAGGTTTCCAACGACATTAGCTTTAATTTAGTATTTGGGTTTTCTATTCTGTACAAAAATGTGACAGGCGTACAAAAGTATTTTGGTGAGAATTTTCATGAAATAAAAAAGTTATTCGTGATGGAATTTAAGCGTGATAGTATGATTTCTTTTATATTTGGCTGGAAAACCACAAGTGGCTATCGTTAGAGCACTCCAGCATTTAATTGTGAATAAATCTTTGAATAAAGCTTTTGTCTCGTACCATCGCTCGTTACCGTGATATTGGTAGCGTAGGACGACGTCAAGGAAGTACACGGTAGAAAACACCAACATCAGGAGAAATGGTTCGAAAAGTAAATAAGCGACTTGTTCGAAACCCGCGTCGCAGTGACCGAAAAATGGCTCGTGAGCTGAACATATTGCAATATTCCATTCGGCAAATATTTAAAAATGAGCTCGGGATAAAGGCATTGAAATTCCAAAAAGGGCAAGAACTTACACCGCAATGGAAAGAAAATAGACTCAAAGAGCCAAAGAGTTGCTTCGCTTGGCCGAAAGTGGTGAACTAACGAATTTGTTTTTTCCGATGATAAAACATTCGTTGTCCAGCAGTTTGTAAACAAACAAAATGATCGTGTTTACTTGTTAAAGAGGTCAGCTGAAAATGTGCAGCTTCGTTTAGCCACCAGAACTCAAACGCCGGTCATGGTGAGGGTGTGGGCCGCCATAAAAGCCGAAGGACGCTCTCCGCTCGTATAATCGACCGTGGCATCAGAATAAACGCCGAATATTAAAGCCTTGGACACGCAAACATTTTGGCCGCAAACCTTGGTAATTCCAACAGGAATGGTTACAAAATGAGGTTTCTTGCTTCATTTCCAGCGCACAATGGCCACCAAAATCTCCGGATTCCAATCCGTTGGACTATTGTGTCTGGAGTATTTTGGAATGCAAGGTTGGCACTAAAAAATAACAAAGTTTCGATTACCTCAAGCAAACGCTTTGCCGGGCATGGGCCAAAATACCGCAGAGTAACGTTCGGACAGCGTGTGACGGTTTATTGGCCGTTTGAAGGTCATAATGCGTGCCAAAGGTGCCTAATTCGAACAAAAATCTAAACTTTTTCTAAAATTTGATGCTATTTCTGACATTTTTTGCCTTCAATCAATAAAATTAAAAAAATATGTAAAAATTATGGCGCTTGACTTTGTTGCAGTTTTTTTATCTGATCTCAGGACTGTCCATAAAGATGTAGTCAGTGTTCCCGTCTACATTACTCAAACAAACTTGAGCTTGCACATCCCTGCAGGTGTTAATCAACTCTATAAATAAATTTTCCTGAGCCTCAGAACACTTTTCTACAGCCGATATCCAGATATTTGAGATTTGGAACTGCATTCATAGTATGTTTTGTCACCTACACTGGTATGCAGCCCTCTTATTAGAAAGTACATCGGTGAATATTTCTGATCTTTTCTGGTCTCTCCGGACATTAAGTCGAACATAACTTCAAAAATTGTGAAAATCCTATTCGCACAAGCATGGTCAAAATGTCAATATTAAAATAAAAATTTATGCTTTTCTACACCATCCTGAGAAGAATTTGTTATCCAATTTGGTAAAAATGCTTTCTTTGTCGATCTGAAAAAACACCAATTAATTTTTGTATTTACAGGTTTGAAATTAATTTAAATTCTTCTTGAAGTCAACCAACAAAATATCTTCAATATGGTATTTTAAAACCTTTATGGGCAGAGCACATCCCCACAAAAATATTGCAATATACATCCGGTTTTTTTATGGCTGCATTTAACAGTATCTTCCACTTTTTCTTATTTCGAAGAGCCGAGAATTTATTTATTCAATCCATTTAAAGCACTCAATAATACAAAGGCCTTTTACTTTGGCCGTAGAAGACTCACACAAAACAAAATTGACATAAACTGGGCAAACTTAGATTTTTTCAGTCGGAAACATGAAAAGAAATAATGAATAAATAAATAACAATTCAAAAATAATTTCTAACAAGTAAGCAAAGGCCACAGTCGAGCGGGGCCGACCGTTGAATACCCTACAACACTATAATAAGTGATACAGTTTATATTGGCGAGATACTCGAATGAATTCCACAAGATATTGTGACAAATAATAAAAGAAAACCATCAGGTTTCGTTCTCTAATTTTCGAATAATAGCAACTTTAACTAATTTGCTCATTTCCAATTTATTGGTAGATGTTGCACTTAAATGGTCTTCCTAGATCTGGAACCAATACTTCCCAAAGACCTATAACCTCTCAGAAGTGGCAAAAGATTAACATTTATTATTGGTTTTTGACTGAAACGCATCTATATGAGATACAGACATTTGACTATATTCTTCAACGAAATCAGCCTTAACGAAATAGTCAGAAGTGCGTCTTTCCTGTATTTGTGAATTCTCCAAAAAGTCACTGGAATGGACATTTTCGGATTTTGTCTACAAAAGTTGGCAAACTCCTCCACACATTGAATATTTTTGGATGGCCATCCAAAACTGCCTGGCTTTTGCAATGTCCGGTAACCCCCATTATTACGACCTGCTGACAATTTTGCAGTTTTTTGGTCCATTTCAACCCCTAAATATATGGCGATCATCTTCAAAAAGAATAGGCTTTTATTCTGACCCTCATCTTATCTCCATGCAAAATTTCGTTAGGATCGGGCCATAAATGCGATCTGTATATGATATCCTGATATTCTAACTACTTAGTTTTGTTAGCTGTAGAAATATTACCAAATGTTTAATTCAAAATGAAAATATGCCAAAAATATGACAAAATTTAAAAGTTATGAGAAAATTTTACAAAATCAATATTTTCATCTTTAGAGAGATATTTTTATGCTATTTTTTCGACGTTTTATGTTTCCTGCCAAGAGGTCATTCTGAATTAATGAGAACTGTGGAAATCAGTTCAGCCGTTCTCGACATACAAGAGATTTTTCAAGCATATCTTCTTTGGTAAACATATATATCGCACATATTTTGCTATATATCCGTTTTATTGGATGTTAACATCAATATAAAGATCAGAAGTAACCTTGTCATGGCTTTGTGATTTCGCCGGGATTTAAAATATTCGCGGTTTAATGAAAAATTTTGAATTTTTTCAACAAAAAAGATATTGTCTATTTTACCCGCTAAATATTATCCGATGACCACCCAAATAGGTAGGCTTCTTGCCAGCCCTAAACTCTAGCTACATGCGAAATTCCGCGTCGATTGGTCTATAATTGCGACCTGTAGAGCAAGTGCAAAATCAGGATTTTTTTCAGTTTTTGGTCCATTTCAACCCCTAAATATTATGCGATCATCACCAAAAGAAATAGGGTTCTATTCTGACCATAGCCCCACCTACATTTTAAATTTCGTGAAGATCGGACCATAATTGCGACCTGTAGAGTGAATACAAATTAACATGGACAGACGGACAGACGGACGGACGGACATACATAGCTAGATCGACTCAGCTCGGCGAGATAGGAAGATCCATATATACTTTCCTATGTGGGAAATCAATATTTCGTGGTGTTACATAATTTTTGGGCCAATCAAACTTATAATACCCCCAACACATAGTGTTGTAGGGTATAAAAAGGCCCTTTTTTGTTTCACTCCATAACGCCCTTAATTCCCTGCCCCCATTAAATTGTTGTACTGTGCTCATCACCCATATAAACAATGACAACAACAGAACACAAAATAAAACCCCCAGAGACAGAGAGCGAATGAGAGAGCGCGAATGGCATTGCACGGTACAAATAAATTGTTGAGGGGGGAGACTTTTGTTATCCACTGAGATTCATGTTGAGATTCAGATTCATCTCTTCTCTTCTTTATGCTGTTCTGTTCTGTGCTGTGCGGATAAACAACACGAACACACACAGGACGACATACATGTGTATTTGCTCAAGAACAACAGGAAAACTTCAGCGATTCTCTTCTCATGGAAACGCATGCAAAATTATAAATACCAAATACAATCCAAATGTATGTGTGCCACGGATATTTGTGCTTGTTCTTCTTTTGCCACCAAAAAGTGGGGGCTGCTGCTGCTGGTGCTTGCATCCATACGACCAACAGCCAACATCCATCTCTATCCACACACATTGGAGTCATGGACATCTATTAAAAAAAACACACACACACCAACACATATACGCACACACACAACAACAATCACTTTGAACCGAGAATTTTAATGCGTTTTTTTCCTTTGGTTCTTCCTTCTTTTCAAAAAAATATAAGGAACAGCCTTTATAAACAATTTGATAGATTTTTTTCTTGTTCCAGGACTCATTCCTTTGTTTCACTTCATAATAATCTTTCGTTTATTATTTTTTTTTCTTATTTAAATTGTATTATTTTCTTTTATATGTATTGTGTATCTTTGTATCTTTTTGTGATTTGGTGTTAATTGGACTTTATTTCGTATTTTTTTCATTTTTTCCCATTCACATACACCATTCATTTATTTGGATGACTTTTACCTTTAATATTATAAATGAAATTTATCACAAATACAATTAGTAAATACATGTTTGCACTTTTTATTTGTTTATGTTTGGTTTGCTAATATTTTCAATTGTTTATTTTATTCACAAATTAACATAAATTCTCCTATTTGATTTAAATTTCTAAATTTTCAGCCAAAAAATCCAAAAAATATGTATCAAGAGTATCAGAGAACGGAGCCATACTGACAGTAATCACCGAAAAGTGATAACTCAGGTCGTCTGCTAATCACTGCCAAGTGATAACATGGGTCATTTGACAAATGAAATGTTAACGGCGTTTTAAGTCATGTGTTCACGAATGGTTTTTAAAAAAATCTGAAATATACAAATGATGACTAAAAGAATTCAATATTATAAATCGAAAAATATTAAAACAAACAAAAATAAATTTAAAAAATACAGTAGCATGTCTGAGGTTCAATTCTTGTTTTATGACAATGCAAAATAAAATCTTTTATAAAGGAAAGAAATGTCAAATGAAAAAAATTGTAAAGGAAATATTTTTCTTTTATATGACAATATAAAATAAAACATTTTGTATGAAAATATAAGATTTTATAAAGAATCAAGAAGTATATTTCATAAAGGGTGGTTCAAACAGCTCACGCAATTTTCGTGTGTTGTTTCACTGTCAAACATCTTTAGTTTAGGCCCTGGAACAATCAAAAAAGCAAGATGTGAGGTAAGGTAAAGCTATCAACCAGCTACATAATTTTTCTGCGAGTGTCCGACTTCTGTCAATTTTGTGTATATATTCAATGTTTTTAAAAAATAAAAACAAAAATTGTTGAAATCAATAAATAGAAAAAATATAAATGACGGGTAGCGCGCTAAAAATATGTATCAATTTTGCCATGAAATTCAAATATTGAACAGTTTGGATCATGTTTTTGAATGAAAATCCAGGCTTTCCATTCATCTTCCGCCTTTTTAACTTTAAAGCCGGAAAAAATATATCAATGAAATGAGAATAACTTGTTGCATCTAATTTTGAATAATTCTGATAGAAAGCATGATGAGACTATTCATGCTTTCTATCAGAATTATTCAAAATTAGGGCAGAATTTCAGTAGTTTAACAAAGCTGTTCTACCTCCTCATTGTACCATGTCTATTGGTATTGATAATTGGCATTTTTTAAATTTCTTAAATTCGGGAGGAATTTTTTTTTTGAAATTATTATGCAACAGTTAGGGGTAGCTTTGTTCTACCTTCTGTAATTATGCCATGGTAAGAACAAAAATGTTTTGCATGTTCTTTTTTTGACAAATCAGCTGATTACTAGCAGGTTTTTTACATACTTTCTAAGGAAAAAGTTGCTGGTATGGTCCAAGTATAAGGTCCCCTCCAAGCCAACTGACTACCAAATGTAATGTCAAAATGCATTATTATGTTTAAAATCACAGAACAAAAAATAAACAACAGCTAAAAAAGTTTAAACAAATTTGGACATTACATCTGGTTATTAAAATTTTGCAGGATCACCTGGTTACTGTATTCCTGCAGCAAAAGTAACCACTGTCTTTAATAGATTTAGTGGATTACGCATGGCAGAAGAATATAGGTAGATGCAACAACGCTTGGGAACATTAATATGTCAAAATTTTTAAAGTGTTTTGTCAAAAATATGTAGATCTTTATATGTTTTCCTATACTACGCAAATCGGAGGTTGTAATGATATGTATTTTACAACAATTTTTACAAATTTCAATAATTTTTCATTCAAGATTTTCAATTCCAACATCGGTTTGACAGTTCAATGTCCCAGGAGCTGTGTCGATGCGACTACCTGTATTCGGAAAAAATGTTGTATCTAAGACAAAGAAAATCATGATTGTGAAAAATTGAGAAATCCTTAACGGTTACCTTATTTTTTGTATAGAAATATTCCCCCCTGGAGTTATCTAAAAACAGCTCACAAAAACTTTTTATTATCACACTGGCAAAAACCATGGTACAATGATATCAAGGTAGGGCTATGATATCATATGATTTCAATTTTTTTTATTTTCTTGGCCTAATATGTCATCATTATTTGTTTATGTATGTGTTTTCTTTTCAATAACAAAAAAAAAACAATAACAGAAAATATTCAAATTCGGGTGTTTTCAAAATGATTATTTCAACGTATGCATCGACAAAATCTAGAGTTTTTGTAGCGAAATAATCCTTTAGAGATATATAGTACATGATTTTGAAAAGAAGTGTTGACCTTTCATTCAATTATCGCGGTTTTCAATTATTTATTCAAAATAAATGCACCAAGTTGTTTGATTTTTTACTTTTTTTGATACTAATTCTGACATTACAAGCCAAACTTCATTGTACCATGGCAAAAACTATTTAATATTCAAGTGAAGATCGCAAACTTAACAGAATCGTTTATATGTTCTCGTAATACTGTGGTAGAAGAATACAGGTAGATGCATCAACGCTTGGCAACATTGATATGTTTTATTAATAATTAAAACGTCTTTTCAAATATAAGTAGATTTGTATATGTTTTCATATACGACATCATTCGGATATTATTATAATAAGCCTTTTCAACAATTTTAACGAATTTGAATAATTTTTCATTCAACATTTTCAATTTCAAAATTGGTTCTTACCTAAAATTCTACCAGAAACACTCCCATGCAACATATGTCATATGTTTCCGCCTTGTCAAACGATTGTTACCATTTGCTATGTTTATTTACGACAAACAGACTTTTATTTGGACGAGTTCTCTCACTTTGTACGTAACAGCGACATCTATATGTAACCTTTTAATATATATTTTTCACGTTTATAGACCCCTACCTGCGTGTCTTTGCTTATGAATAGCCGAGACAACAACTGCAAAGGGGTTTCAAAATATGGGATATTTTTATTTTGCTGAATTCAATGGGATATTATAAATATATGTAAGTAAGGCGATTGAACAGTTATTTTTCTGACACAAATTAGAATTGTTTTGTTATACGGCATTGGCATGGTAGGAGAATACAGATAGTCGCAGCGACGCCTGCTGCAATTATGAAATTGATATTTTTGAATGAAAAAATTTTCAAATTTGTTAAAAATTGTTGAAAAATGCATATCATAACAACCTCCAATTGGTGGCTTATAAGAAAACTTCTAAAATTCGACTTATTTTTGAAAAATATATATTAACATTTTAGACATACCAATGTTTCAATGTGTTGATGCATCTACCTGTGTTTTTCTACAATAGGTATTGGCGGCAATCAACAAAATTTTGTAAAATTTTTACTTTTAGTATTTAGATCGGGTATAAAATATGCACACACGAACACAAGGATGATGCAATTTCGATGACTGAGGCATTTATGCTAATTTTCATTATGTTAAAGTGGGTAAAGGGTTATAATATTTCTGCCGATTTATTCAATTTTGCAATTAACAATGCATAAATTATTTCGAAAAAAGGCTAATTTCCAGCTTTTTCTATATATGTACTATTTAATTGCAACTTAAATGTTAGAAAAATTAGGTCATTGGTAATTTATCACACAAATGCGTTGAAATTTTACCGCCACATTTGAATTTTGAACTTGACTTAGTTTTCTTTCAAATCAGATCACCAGAACAAAATAATATGTAAAAATCACTCAAGTTCAACAACAATAACGTGGAGACAAAACGCAACTTTAGAACTACCACTTGCAATGGAGATAAATGGTTAATTGGTCAAGTAAACAATAGCAGAAGCAACGACAACAACAACACTAGGGCACATGGTAATGACAACAACAAATGTTAAGATTTAAATTAAATTAACATGAGAACATGCAAGCAAACAAAACAACAATATATTTACAGCAACACCAAAATAACTTCTATTTGTACACTCGAGAAAAAATGTTGGTGGAAAAAGATTAGTTTTTGGAATATAATTGGACCGGATGATATTTTGATGTTTATGCCATGACGACTTTGTGTTATTTTAAGATTTTGGATTCATGGGAAACAATTCCCTGGTATTCTGACAAGCTATTAACAATTCCCCATGATTTCGGAAATATGGACAACGATTTCTAGTTTTTGTTTAAGGTAGATAGCAATTGCCTATACAGGGTGAGATAAAAAAACTGCAACAAAGTCAAACTCCACAATTTTTACATTTTTCTTAAAAATGTTATTGAATAAAAGCAAAAAATGTCGGAAATAGCATCAAAATTTAGAAAAAAAATAGATTTTTCGAATTGGTCACTTTTGGCACGAATTATGGCCTTCAAACGGCCAATGAAATCGTCACACGCCGCCCCAACTTTGCTCTTCGGTATTTTTGCCCATTCCCGGCGAAGCGCTTGCTTGCGGTGATCGACGCTTTGGTATTTTTTAGTGCCAACCTTGCTTTCCAAAATACTCCAGACACAATAGTCCAACGAATTGGTATCCGGAGATTTTTGGTGGCCACTGTGCGCTGGAAATGAAGCGAGGGACCTTATTTTGTAACCATTCTTGGGTGGCAGGTGCTGAGTGCGATGGTGCTGAATCCTGTTGGAATGTCCAAGGTCTGCGGCCAAAATGGTTGCCCAAGTCCTTAATACACCCTCCAGAATATTTTCGCGATAATATTCGGCATTTATGTTATGACGGCACACACCGTCACCATGGGCGGCGCTTGAGTTCTGGTAACCAACCGAAGGTCGAAGTAAACTCGATTATTTTGTTTGTTTACGAGCTGCTGGACAACGAGTATTTTTCATCGGAAAAACCAAATTCGGCAATTCACCACTTTCGGCCAAGCAAAGCAACTCTTTAGCTCTTTTTAATCTATCTTCTTTCAGTTGCGGTGTAAGTTCTTGCACTTTTTGGAATTTCAATGGCTTTACGCCGAGCTCGAATGGAATATTGCGATATTTTCAGCTCACGATGATCAACATAAAATTCTATGTCGATTTTTCGACGTCCGTCCGTCTGTGGAAATCACTCTAGCTCTCGAACGAAATGAAGTATGTTGATAAAATTTTACTCAAATGTGTATTATGTCCGCAGGACTTTTGGTATTGAAAATAGCCCCCATACAATGGAACCTCCCTTTATTTGGTATTTCGGCGATTTAAGCGACATTATTCACCGGAATTGTTTCAAATTTGGTATTTGAAGTTCGTAATGGATACTACAGCCTATGACAGAAAATTGTCTGTGCAGGTCCTCGTCTTCATAAAGCCCCCATATAACGATACCTCCCGATATTCGGTATTTTGATGATTTTATTCACCGGAATTGTTTCAAATTTGGTATTTGAAGTTCGTAATGGATACTACAGCCTATGACAGAAAATTGTCTGTGCAGGTCCTCGTCTTCATAAAGCCTCCATATAACGGTACCTCCCGATATTCGGTATTTTGATGATTTTAGCGACATTATTCACCGGAATCATTTCAAATTGGGTATTTAAAGTTCGTAACGGATGCTACAGCCTATGACAGAAAATTGTCTGTGCACTTCCACGTCTTCATATAGCCGCATATATAGCGGTACTCCCGATATTCGGTATTTTGATTTTATTCACCGGAATTGTTTCAAATTTGGTATTTGAAGTTCGTAATGGATACTACAGCCTATGACAGAAAATTGTCTGTGCAGGTCCTCGTCTTCATATAGCCCTCATATAACGGTACCTCCCGATATTCGGTACTTTTATGATTTTAGCGACATTATTCAACGGAATTGTTTCAATTTTGGTATTTGAAGTTCGTAATGGATGCTACAGCCGAAGACAGAAAATTGTCTGTACAGGTTCATGTCTTCGCAGAGCCCCCATATAACGGTACCTCCCGTGATAATTTTAGCGACATTATTCAATGGAATTGTTTAAACATTGGTATTTGAAGTTCGTAACGGATGCTACAGCCTGTGACAGAAAATTGTGTGTGCAGGTCCACGTCTTCATATAGCTCCCATATAACTTTACCTCCCTATATTTTATATATATATATTTTGATGATTTTAGCGACATTATTCGCCGAAATTGTTTCAAATTTAGTATTTGAAATTCGTAATGGATACTTCAGCCCATGACAGAAAATTGTCAACTAACATCTAAACTAATCACTGAACCTTCCATTTTTTTTCTCGAGCGTAACACCCACGTTGGCGTGTCTCCTTGTACTTAACTGGAATAATTTGGTTCCGTTTAACCTATCCGTATAATTGTCTACAATGGGCAGTTAATTTCAAATTAATTTCGAAAAAAAAAAACGTACTGACCAACAACAATTTGTGCATGCATTATTTACGTATGTTGCAGACTTACTTTACGTGATTTGGCTAGGTGAAAACATTCCATATCTGAGATTCCTGACATAGCATTTTTATAGCACCTTCATTTCGAACAGATTCCTTGGTGAATAAAGTTGCATCTTTGAAAAAAAAAAAAGCAGAGCATCAGCGATCCCCGTATTTTGGACGGGAAACAATGGTCTCGAAGGTAACAAATGTTACCGCTTCACAACAAACGGCATTGAAGGGTATTGTCCGGAACAGTAGCTATGTCATACCAGGCTTGTATGACCTTAGCACCGAGGACACCAATTGGGTGTTGACATCGTCCTTTATCATATTCACCATGCAGACAGGTATTTTGAATACTAACTCACGGGTTTTTCTTTATGTCACCTCCGGAATATGTTTTCCATTCTTTTTAAGGATTTGGCATGCTGGAATCCGGTTGTGTTTCGATTAAAAACGAAGTCAATATTATGATGAAAAATGTCATTGACATCGTGTTGGGTGGCTTTACATATTGGCTGTTTGGTTATGGCATGAGTTATGGCCGCGGAGCTTTGTCAAATCCCTTTATTGCTTTGGGAGATTTTCTTTTGGATCCACCCGTTGATGATCCGCTGATGGGTCAGATATTTGCTGCTTTCCTGTTTCAGTTATCATTTGCCACCACAGCAACAACAATTGTGAGTGGTGCCATGGCAGAGCGGTAAGTTTATTTAAAATGTGGGAATTTCCGTATGAGGGAAAATGTATTTAACCATAACCTCAAATTTGTGGTTAATAAAAAAACGAATGAAATGTAAATTCAGATAGCAGGCGAAGAGGTTTGTGCTGCGGCTAGTAGCAAATTTTGTGGAACTCTGTGGCTGGTTAGTATTAAAATATAACCCAAAAATTGTGGTTATCCCAAAAAAGCAAAATTTTCAGTAAAATAACAGAACATAATAATACCATGTTCCCATTGGCATTTAAACGACGTTGTTAGCTATTAAGATACCTCACAAGATTTGAATAATGGTAGAAGAATACAGGGTGAGATGAAAAAACTGAAACCAACTTAAGACTGCTGTCATTTCTAAGCTACTCGTCCGACAGCCGGACAGCTCAAGTCATATGAATTCAGGTAGCTTTTTCAGCGTTTTTTAATAAAAATTCTCAAATCGATTCATATATGTTTTCCAAAAGAAATTCCTTTCAGAAAGTTTTAATAGAAATATTTCATTATTAAAAAAGGTATTTTGGTGAGAATTTTCCACAAAAAAAGTTATTCGTGATGGAATTCAAGCGTGATAGTGTGATTTCTTTATATTTGGCTGTAAAAACACTAGTGACTATCGTTAAGCACTCGAGCATTTAAATGTGAATAAATCTTTTGTGTTTCGTACCATCGCTCGTTACCGTCAAGGAACTGGACGGAAGAAACCAGCAATATCATCTGAAATGTTCGAAACCCGCGCCGCAATGGCCGAAAAATGGCTCGTGATTTCGCAATATTCCATTCGGCAAATATTGAAAAATGAGCTCGGGGTAAAGCCATTAAAATTCCAAAAAGTGCAAGAACTTACACCGCAGCGAAAAGAAAATAGACTCAAAAGAGCTAAAGAGTTGCTTCGCTTGGCCGAAAGTGGTGAACTTACGAATTTGGTTTTCTCCGATGAGAAAACATTCGTAGTCCTGTAGTTTGTAAACAAACAAAATGATTGTCAGTTGAAAATGTGCACCTTCGGTTGGCCACCAGAACTCAAGCGCCTGCAATGGTGATAGTGTGGGCCGCCATAACAGCCGATGGTCGCTCTCCGCTAGTATTAATCGACCGTGGCATCAGAATAAATACCGAATATTATCGCGAAAATATTCTGGAGGGTGTATTAAAGCCTTGGGCACGAAAACATTTTGGCCGCATACCTTGGACATTCCAAAAGGACTCAGCACCATCGCACTCAGTACGCGCCACCCAAGAATTGTTACAAAATGAGGTTCCTTGCTTCATTTCGAGCGCACAATGGCCACCAAAATCTCCGGATACCAATCCGTTGGACTATTGTGTCTGGAGTATTTTGGAAAGCAAGGTTGGCACTAAAAAATCACCTCAAGCAAGCGCTTCACCGGGAATGGACCAAAATGCCGCAGAGCAACATTCGGGCAGCGTGTGACGGTTTCATTGGCGGTTTGAAGGCTATAATTCTTGCCAAAGGTGACCAATTCGAGCAAATCTAAACTAATTCTAAAATTTGATGCTATTTAAAACCTTTTTGCTTTCATTCAATAAAATTAAAAAAAATACGACCTAACCTCACTTTTCTTCGTTTTTCCAGCTGTAACTTCAAGGCCTATTGTCTGTTTTCATTGCTGAATACCATAATTTATTGCATACCCAGTGGTTGGGTGTGGGGTGAACATGGATTCCTCAACAATTTGGGTGCTGTGGATATAGCTGGCAGTGGGCCGGTACATTTGATAGGTAAGCTGGAATGATGTTTTTTCTTTAATATACTAATATCCATTTCTTTTCAGGTGGCACAGCGGCATTTGCTTCGGCAGCTATGTTGGGTCCCAGATTGGGCCGTTATGCCGATGGATATGATCCCCTACCTTTGGGTAATCCCGTCAATGCATGTATGGGTCTCTTTGTCTTGTGGTGGGGCTGGTTGGCTTTCAATTCGGGTAGCACCTATGGTGTAAGTGGTGCCAAATGGCAATATGCCGCCCGTGCTGCTGTTATGACAATGATGGGTTCATTTGGTGGCGGTATCATAAGTACCATGTAAATACGAGAGATAGAGTTTGGAAAAATTGTATTTGATTTGTGTTTTTACTTTTCCAGATATTCGCTGTGGCGCCATGACGGGCGCCTGGATATAATCGATTTGATAAACGGTGTCCTGGGTTCACTGGTCTCCATTACGGCTGGCTGTTTTCTGTATCGCGCCTGGGAAGCGCTAATCATTGGTCTAATTGGTGCCTTGTTGTGTGTTTTGGCAATGCCGGTTTTCGATCGTATGGGTGTGGATGATCCAGTGGGGGCCAGTGCCGTACATGGGGTGTGTGGAATATGGGTAAGGAGGGGGAAGCAAAAAGTAATGAGAATCATAGAAACTCTTATATTTTTCTTGAATTTTACAGGGCGTCATAGCAGTAGGCCTCTTTGCCGATAATCCCATACCTCTGGACACGACCAAGGGCCGTTCGGGCCTTTTCAAAGGTGGCGGTTGGTATTTGCTTGGTATACAAACCCTCTCCGCCCTCTGTCTCACCTGCTGGGGTATATGTTCCACATTCCTCCTTCTCTATATTGTGAATAAGATCATACCCATTCGCATGGACCCAAACGAAGAGCTGTTGGGTGCCGATCTAATGGAGCACCGTATCAGACATTCACAAATTGGTCTATCTCGTGCCATCTCGGCTTTGGCACCGCTGAAAGTTGATCTCAATGAGGTTGCCGGTGTCCAACCGATTGGCTTGAATCCTGGCCATGAAAAATCATTGGCCCAGCTAAGGGCGGCCGATGACAAGCTACAACAATGGCAATCTTATCTGGAGCAAATGGGACCAAGTGTTCCAAAGCCTCATCATAACAATAATGATGACTTCATCTTGCGCAGCGAATACAAATCACCCACGAAGCGCCGCAGCAGTATCGGAAATGTTTTTAGTCGAAAATCGAAAACGGTTCACATCAACACTCAGCCGCCGGCAAATATTAACGAGGATGGTGGCTACTATAAGCCGAGTAATAAGGAATTGCCGATAATATCGAATAAGGATATGATGAATAATAAGGACAAGGATACAAATTTTGCTTGGCTGGATTAGGGGTGAAAAATTACAGACACATTCTAACTAAACACAAAATGTGTGGGATAATTGTAGATGAATAAAAAAATTGTATAACTTTCTGTAGAATATTTGAATTTGCCATACATTTCTAGCGGGCTATCTAGAAAATTTCGATATGAAGTCCTCTAGGTCTTCTCTGTGGAGACCTATAGGTCCTCTTTCTAAGAGGGCCTATTGGTCTTCTTTCTAAGAGGGCCTATTGGTCTTCTTTCTAAGAAGGCCTATTGGCCTTCCCCCTTAGAAGAACTATTGGTCTTCTCTTCAAGAAGACTTATTGGTCTTCTCTTCAAGAAGACCTATTGGTCTTCTCTTCAAGAAGACCTATTGGTCTTCTCTTCAAGAAGACCTATTTGTCTTCTCTGCAAGAAGACCTATTGGTCTTCTCTGCAAGAAGACCTATAGGTCTTCTCTATGAAGACCTATGGGTCTTCTCTATGAAGACCTATGGGTCTTCTCTATGAAGACCTATGGGTCTTCTCTATGAAGACCTATGGGTCTTCTCTATGAAGACCTATGGGTCTTCTCTATGAAGACCTATGGGTCTTCTCTATGAAGACCTATGGGTCTTCTCTATGAATACCTACTATATATTCTCTATGAAGACCTATCGGTCTTCTCTATGAAGACCTATGGGTCTTCTCTATGAAGACCTATGGGTCTTCTCTATGAAGACCTATGGGTCTTCTCTATGAAGGCCTATGGGTCTTCTCTATGAAGACCTATGGGTCTTCTCTATGAAGTTTTATGGGTCTTCTCTATGAAGTTTTATGGGTCTTCTCTCTATGAAGACCTATGAGTCATCTCTATGAAGATTTATGGGTCTTCTCTATGAAGATCTATGGGTCTTCTCTATGAAGACCTATGGGTCTTCTCTATGAAGACCTATGGGTCTTCTTTATGAAGATCTATGGGTCTTCTCTATGAAGACCTATGGGTCTTCTCTATGAAGACCTATGGGTCTTCTCTATGAAGACCTATGGGTCTTCTCTATGAAGACCTATAGGTCTTTTCTATGAAGACCTATGGATTTTCTCTAATGAAGACCTATGGGTCTTCTCTATGAAGACCTATTGATCTTTCCTCTTCTCTGGGAAGGGTTATTGTTTTTTTTTATTAGTATTTATATTTCTTTTAATATTCACACTACACGTTTTATTGTTAAGTGAACCCATTAATAACAAAAAACCCATTAAACAAACATGCCTTGGACTTGCCAAAAATTTCGCGACCACGTGAAATAATCAAATGACGAAATATGACCACCACACCAACACAACAATACACACTCGTTTATAATAACCAGTATGGTGGCATCAAAGCAAGAAAAAAAACCAACCAACTGTTCAGCATTCTAAAATGGAATGACGTCATTTGTATATTTTCTAGAAAACATACATACATATACATTTTAATAATAAAACTAACACACCACGCAAACCTCAGGCATGATCTGCTCTTCTTTCTGAATCATTATAAACTATGGAATTTCTCCAAGTTGCAAAAAAAACATTTTTTTAACTTTCCTTTGTTTAGATGGATGGATGGATTTCAAGAGAAATACAAAATAAACAAATTAACTGCTCTTTCTCGAAGAAACTAATGAATAATCAAATAATTTGAATGGTTACGTAGGTATTTTTCGACACATAATTAAGCAGTTGTAGACACCGCTTACGAATTAAGCAGCAGCCGAAACAACGGTGGTGCGCGACAATGAAAGTTCATCAAAAATTCGTTGAACTTTGTCCTTCAGAAAAAAATTAACATTTGGTTAGCACACCTCATGGCAAGTGTGACAATAAAAAAATATTTAAATACATGTCCCCCCTCCTTCATTCCTTTCCCTTTAATCTACCCCAAAAAATCAGAAACACAAATTTTTTTCTGTAGCTTCATTCATAAATTGTTTTTATTTTTCGTTTTCACGGGAAATGCACAAGTAAAACGCACTTATTTTACTTAAAAGCCTTTTCTAAATAATGTCAACATTGTAGTAGAGAATGTGTTGTAGATGGAAATAGGAAATACGAACGAAGACCGCAGTTTTTGTTCTAAGGTTTGATTTTTCTTCTTTTGTTGTTGTTGATGTTTTTCAAAATCCAAGCAGCATATTTTGGGAATAGTTTTTATTTGGTAGAGATGTTAAAATACGAGAAATTTCATTGTCAGCGGCGAATGATTTAGTCGACTTCTTCGATGGTGGGACCGGCACCGGAACCAGCACCAGGAGCAGCACCACCAGCTCCGGGGAAGCCACCGGGCATGCCACCAGGCATACCACCGGGAGCACCACCAGCACCTTGGTACAACTTGGTGATGATTGGATTGCAAACACCTTCCAATTCCTTTTGGCGGTGTTCGTATTCTTCCTTTTCGGCCAATTGATTGGCATCCAACCATTTGATGGTTTCGTTGCACTTATCCATAATGGTGGTGCGGTCGGATTCGGAGATCTTGGATTTCAAGTTTTCTTCGTCCAATGTTGCCTTCATGTTGAAGCAGTAGGACTCCAAAGAGTTCTTGGCAGCAATGGTTTCCTTTTGCTTCTCATCTTCATTACGGTATTTCTCAGCTTCGTTGACCATGCGCTCGATATCTTCCTTGGACAAACGGCCCTTGTCGTTGGTGATGGTGATCTTGTTTTCCTTGTTGGTGGAACGTTCCAAGGCGGTGACATTCAAGATACCGTTGGCATCAATGTCGAAGGTAACTTCGATTTGGGGTACACCGCGGGGTGCTGGGGGAATGCCAGACAATTCGAATTTGCCCAACAAGTTGTTGTCCTTGGTCATGGCACGTTCACCTTCATAGACCTGGATCAATACACCGGGTTGGTTGTCGGAGTAAGTGGTGAAGGTCTGGGTTTGCTTAGTGGGGATGGTGGTGTTACGCTTGATGAGAACGCTCATGACACCGCCAGCGGTTTCAATACCCAAAGACAAGGGGGTAACGTCGAGCAACAACAAGTCTTGGACTTCCTGGGACTTGTCGCCGTGCAAGATAGCGGCCTGGACGGCAGCACCGTAGGCGACGGCTTCATCGGGATTGATGGACTTGTTCAATTCCTTGCCGTTGAAGAAATCTTGCAACAACTTTTGTACCTTGGGGATACGGGTGGAGCCACCGACCAAGACAATGTCGTGGATTTGTGACTTGTCGAGCTTGGCATCGCGCAAAGCCTTCTCAACGGGATCCATGGTGCTGCGGAACAAATCAGCGTTCAATTCCTCGAAACGGGCACGGGTGATGGAGGTGTAGAAATCGGTACCTTCGAACAAGGAGTCGATTTCAATGCTAGCCTGGGTGGAGGAGGACAAAGTACGCTTTGCACGTTCGCAAGCGGTGCGGAGACGACGCAAGGCACGCTTGTTGGAGGACAGATCCTTCTTGTGCTTGCGCTTGAATTCCTGAACAAAGTGGGTGACTAGGCGATTGTCGAAATCTTCACCACCCAAATGGGTGTCACCAGCAGTGGACTTGACCTCGAAGATGCCGTCGTCAATGGAGAGAATGGATACATCAAAAGTACCACCGCCCAAATCGAAAATCAACACATTACGTTCGCCAACGGCCTTCTTGTCCAAGCCGTAGGCAATGGCGGCAGCTGTGGGTTCATTGATGATACGCAAAACGTTCAAACCAGCAATGGTACCAGCATCCTTGGTAGCTTGACGCTGGGAATCGTTGAAATAGGCTGGGACTGTGATGACAGCATTGGTAACGGCCTTACCCAAATAGGCTTCAGCGGTTTCCTTCATTTTCGACAAGACCATGGAAGAGATTTCTTCGGGGAAGAAGGTCTTCTTCTCATCCTTGTAGACAACTTGGATTTTGGGTTTGCTGTCTACATTGACGACATCGAAGGGCCAATGTTTCATGTCAGATTGAACGGCGGCATCATCGAACTTGCGACCAATCAAACGCTTAGCATCGAAGATGGTATTTGTGGGATTCATAGCGACTTGATTTTTGGCAGCGTCTCCAATAAGACGTTCAGTATCGGTAAAGGCAACATAGGAGGGTGTGGTACGATTACCTTGATCGTTGGCAATAATTTCAACTTTGCCATGTTGGAATACACCTACGCAAGAGTAGGTTGTACCCAAATCAATACCAACAGCGGGAGCTTTAGACATCTGCAAAAGAAAAAAGGGAAAGAAGAAAAGGGCAGAGGTTAATAAAAGAACAAATTGAATGTTTGTTTGAATGGTTTTTAATAAATGTCTTCCCTATGTTTAGTCATTATCCGCACTCGCAGGTGGTTCTAGCGTTAACACTTTTTTTTAATGATAATGACTGATATACATTTATTTCTACGTATTTTGCTTTGTGCCGTTGCACTTATCAAATGCCTAAGGAGTTCATTCACATTTAAATTCCAAAAAAATAGCCAAGTGAAAACCTAAATATTTTAAAGCGTCTATTTTCTTTTTTATTCTTTATGTGACCAACAACATTCCAATTTAACTAAAAAAAATTATGACTACCTATTTTTAATAATTTTCCTTTTCCTTATTTCATTAATTTGTATTTTGTTTACATTCACCATATTGATTCATCAGTTTCACTATCAATGGCGTGTCGTGTGAACACGGTGTTAGGCCTTCTCCTAAACAGTCTGTTTTGGCAGACATTTCTAGTTTGTTCTCGCTCTCTCTCGCGCTCGCTCACACACATTACTCAAACGGCAGATGTTATCAATTTCCGCCATGTTAGGGGTTGATGAATCAGCTGTTTCAGCCCAAGTAGTTTTTGCAATTTAGGCGGCGTGTTTTCTATACACATTGTACGAATGTTCAAGGTTGCAAATTTTCTATGTTTGCAAAGAATTGTCTGGAAAATTCCTATATAATGCATGATGATTCTGATTTAAAGAGAAAACCCAATGAGCAATCAATTTTTCAAGAGAAAAAAAACTTATGCGAATAAAAAAATGGGTTGAGAGAGAAACATTTAACCTGCATGAAATCAATAAATTTCAGTTGAATTTAAACGGCCTTACATTATTTATAACTATTCGATAAAAAAACACGTTTTCGCTTGTAATTTTCTGATGCAATATTGAAAGAGAAGCAATAATTTATAACAAATATTCCTCTTTTACCTATACTATAAAGGGAACAGTGAGAAATGGCAAAATTTCCAGAAACGTAACCACAAGACTTAAACAAAAATCGATAACATGACGCTACAAAACGTTGTTTTTACAGCGGATATAGCACACAAAGCACAACGGTGAAGGGTAGAAGTATAATATAACATACTTCCCGCGTTCTCCCCTTTTGTTGTTTCTATAGTGTCGGCTCACAACTACTATTACTCTTAATTGTGTTCCCGAGTCAGTGAGAACAACGCATTCTGTTACCAAGGCCCTAAAAATTGTTGTACATACACGAAACACATCCCGCAGCCTCGAATAAATTGCAAAAAGCTATGGAAAACATACACAAACACATTGCTAAGAAAAATTGAATTCATAAAATGCACTAATACATAGGCAAGAGATAAAACACTACTTTAGGTGATTTAAGAGAAATGTGTTAACATTGGTCATACGATATTTTGTTGAATATATTTTTTTCAAGTTAAAAAAAACGATAAAGAAAATGGAGGTTAAGCTAATACACACGCTTTACATGTGTGGAAATATTTAATCTTGATAAAAAAAAAAAAGAAACCTCAAACATGCGGTTATTACCCCCACAGAGGGGGAACGAACATATAACCCAATTTTATCTCAAATACAATGTGTTTTCAATTTTTTTACACAATTCCATATAAATAGTGAAGAACATACTTCAACTTTGTAGCTGCACAACTACTATAGCAACGAGAAAAAATTTGTGACTCATTCATGTCAGAATAAAAAAAAAGACTATTTTCCAGACATTTCCCCAACTTCTCACAAATCCCCACAAATTGTTACTTAATTTTCCATAGTTTGTATAATATATTAATTTGCAATCAATTTTAATTTATGAAAAACACTGAAATTGCCGGACCTCCCCTCAAAATGCAACGCCCACGTGCTTTTTTCTCTCAACTTCAATTTTTCTCACACTAAAATATATAACCTTTTTAATCTATTTCGTTATAATTTATTTATTTACGTTTCCCACTTACCTTGTGTTTTTTGTTAGTTGTTTATTATAAAATCTAAACTTAATACTCCAAAACCTTTTCTTGGTTGCACTTTTCTCTTTATTCTTCTTTCCGTGTGTGTGTTCTTTATCGGCAATCACACGTTCGGTCAAATTCACGCTTACTTTAGGAATGATTTTTTCTTGCTAAAAACATTTCTTTATAAACCAGTATGGCGCGCACGCTTGCAAAAAAAGGTACGCACAATGCCATTCTAGTATTTTCGCTTGCGGTCACAGTTGTATACAGATGGTAGTTGGTGTAGCGTTAACGCTAGGGTAGTTCACAATGCGTTATGTGCTAAGAGATTAGTTAAATGCGATTCACATTAAGTTTGATCATTCGAACTGCTAGGATTTTTAACTTTGAACCATGGTAGAAAAATACTGGTAGATGCATCAACGCTTGGGAGCATTGATATGTCACAAATTTTTAAATTTCTTTTCAAATATAAGTAGATTTTTATATGTTTTCTTATACGACACAATTCGTGGGTTGTAAAGATATACATTTTCAACAATTTTTTACAAATTTAGATAATTTTTCACTCAACATTTTTAATTCCAAAATTGGTTTGACAGTTCATTGTCCCAGCAGCTGCGTCGATGCGTCTACCTATATTCTTCTACCATGCCATCCAGATTGGTATCCGGAGAATTTTTTGGCCATTGTGCGCTGGAAATGAAGCGAGGAAATGTTATTATGGCCCACAGCATCACCAGTTCGGGTGGCCAACCGAAGGTGCACATTTTCAGCTGACCTCTTTGGCAAGTAAACACGATAATTTTGTTTGTTTACTAACTGCTGGACAACGAATGTTTTCTCATGGGAGAAAATCAAATTCGGCAGATCAAAGCAACTCTTTAGCTCTTTTGATTCATTTTCTCTCTGTTGCGGTGTAAATTCTTGCACTTTTTGGAATTTCAATGGCTTTACTCCGAGCTCATTTTCCAATATTTGCCGAATTGAATTTTGCGATATGTTCAGCTCACGAACCATTTTTCGGCCATTGCGATGCGGGTTTCGATCAAGTAGCTTCTTTACTTTTCGAACCATTTCTGCTGATGTTGCTGTTTTCTTCCGTCCAACTCTTTGACGTAGGGCTACGCTACCAGTATCATGGTAACGAGCGATTGTACGAGACACAAAAGATTTCTTCACATTTAAATGCTGGAGTGTAGCCAAATATAAAAAAAATACCACGCTTGAATTCCATCACGAATAACTTTTTTTGTGAAAAATTCTCACCAAAATGCCTTTTTTAATAAAAAATAATTTTATTTAAACTTTCTGAAAGGAATTTCTTTGGAAAATATGTATAAATCGATTTCAGAATTTTTATTAAAAAACGCCGAAAAAGCTACCTGAATTCATATGACTTGAACGCTGCTTGAACATATGTTTTTTATTTTGATTGGTTTTACATAACCTCAAACTCGTAGTCAAATTGTAAATAAATCTCTATAAATTACGTGAAATTTTAATTTTAAGTGTTAATTTAACATAAACTAAATATAAATAATGTCCAAACTACTAGTAGATCAATTGTCACATCCCCAAAGAGTACGTATTTTGTATAAAACAATCCTACGATTGCATAGAGGTAAAGTCAAACATTGAAATAAACAGAACTTGTAAAATCAAGTCCATTCCCTACAGGTTTGCCGGATGAGTTGAAAGATTTGGGTGACAAATATGTTAAAGATGAATTCCGAAGGCATTTAAAATGCAATCCCATGGAGGCACAACTATTTATGACAGAATGGGCAGTAAGTAAACGAGATTGTTTTATAAAAAATTTACAAATTTATAACTTTATTTTTACATTCTTTTAGAAATATGCTGTTACTATAAGCAAACAACTAGGTATACGCGGCAAGCCATTGGGAACAATTGGCGATGATTTAGACAAGGAAACTGTAGAAATGTTAAATGATGACCAAACCGTTCAACTCTATGAATTGATGTTAGCAGCCAAAGGCATTGAAGGCGATGTCATAACAAAAGAAGATGTTACAAAATAAAAGAGAATTGCCTATGTTTATTGTTTTTCCAATATTTTGTATTCATATTTAATATTGTTTTCTTCTTGTACGCCTTTTGGTGTTTCTGCGTCTAATTCAACCTCTTTGAAGTCATCTGGAATGCTGGGAAAGAATGTATCACACTCGAATGTTGCATGAATCTTTGTCAAATACAAGCGATGGCAACGAGTTGATGCCATAGCTTCAGCATAAACACCACTACCACCGACAATCCACACGGTCTCAATTTGTTTGGTTACATTCTCATCTGTCTCAAGGAAATTCATTGCCGACTCCAAGTTGGGATATAGTAGCACATCAGATGGCAAATCGGAGGGTTTTAAAGTTGTACTTAAGACAATATTTAAACGTTCCGCCAATGGTCGTTTAGATTCGGGGACACCAAAATAGGTTTTTCTACCCATTATCACGACATTTCGTTTGGTTGGGTCACGAACACGCTTTGTAGTGCTGCTAAAATATTTCAATTCGGACCTGTTTTGGAGAAATAAAGTTGAATAATTAAATGCATTGAAAGCTCCATTCATTCCATACTCACTTTAGGCGCCATGGCAAATCACCCTTGAGTCCAATGCCAAAATTTTCACAAACGGCAACAATTAAACTGAATTTAAGCATGGTAGAACTAATAAAATCTCACAATATATTTCTTTACAGTGCAATAAACGCCAAAATCTTCTGATCTTGACCTTATCTGCTACAGACAGATTTTATTTTTCATGTATAAACAAGTGAAGATTATGATTTGGCGGTGAGAACAGCTTTCCTCGCAAACAAATTAAAACACAAAAGCAGCGACAACGCCGGGCGACTTAGAACAAATTGCTTTATAGCATGGTGCAATTAAAAGCTGTTGCATAACTGCCAGCTGATTATAATTTTTTCCAGGCTTCTGTCATTCTATGTTTATAATTATTAGGTGTGTCTGGTTACCCTAAAATTTGTAACAATTGTTACTGGAAGTCGTCTGTTAACCCGAAAGTTCTGCAAAAGAGAGCGGTTGAAGAGATAAATTTTGACAGTTCTTTCAGTGAGAGTTTGCAAATTCTTGCTGGACAAATTTCTTCTTGCAATAGGTGTGTCTGGTTACCCTAAAATTTGTAACAATTGTTACAAATTGTTACTGGAAGTCGTCTGTTAACCCGAAAGTTCTGCAAAAGAGAGCGGTTGGAGAGAGAAATTTTGACAGTTCTTTCAGTGAGAGTTTGCAAATTCTTGCTGGAAAAATTTCTTCTTGCAATCTCTTGCAACTCTTCTTCTTCCATTCATCGACATTCAATCAGATGTTTTCTATTGTTTATTTATTTCTTTTTGTGATTTTAATTTGAAAATATTGTTTTGGAATTAGCAAGACTAATTGTTTTTGGAGAACAACTGTACAAAATGTGAAAAACGTAAATGTTAATATGTAATAAGAAAATAAAAGACTATTTCCAACATTTTTATTTAAAAAACTTGTAAAATTAGTATTGGTTCCTTTGTTTTAATTCTCCTTATGGGGGACTGTTGTATGTATATATAAATATTTGTAAGAGTATATGTAATGCATAAGCATTACATATACTCACAACAATTACTACTTTAGTCTTAAAACATTTAATGTAATGGTAGAAACAGATCATAAGCCATTAGTGACATTATTTGATAAACCAAGGTGTCAAGGTGTCAAAGTCTAGCGCGTCAGACCGTATATTGGCCAAACATGAATAGTGAAATTGAAAATCTTGTATCTAATTGTGAGGTGTGTTTGAAATACAAAAAATCGAATACTAGACCAGAGATTTTGCCACACGAAATTGTAGATATCCCATGGTATAAAGTGGGATGCGATCTTTTTGAATACAAAAACAGAATGTATATACTTGTTGTCGATTATTATTCAAAGTATATAGAAGTCGAATATCTTAATAATGGCTATAATAGTAAGAACGTGATTACTAAGTTAAAATCCTTATTTGCACGACATGGAATTCCTAACATCTTTGTGTCAGACAATGGTCCGCCTTTTAGTTCAAAGGAATTTAAAGTTTTTTGTCGCGAGTGGGAAATTGAACATGTCACATCAAGTCCATTTTTACCAAGATCTAATGGCTTAGCACAACGGTCTGTGCAGACAGTCAAGAAAATGTTATTAAAATCGTCCGAGAGTAATTCTGATCCCTATGTTGCTTTATTGCACTACAGAACAACGCCAAAAGGTAATATGCCTAGTCCTTCTGAATTGCTTATGTCTAGGTCCTTACGCACTAAAATTCCATCAATGTTAATTCATCACGAGCCAAAAGTAGTTGACAAAAATGAATATAGGACAAAAATAGAGACAAACTTAAAGAAAACTTCAGAATACTATAATAAAAAGTCAAAGTTTTTAGAGCCAGTTGGTGAAGGCGATAAGGTCATGTTTAAGAAAACCCCATCCAGCTATTGGCAACCTGGGCAAATTATAGAAACGTGCAAAGAACCAAGGTCTTTTGTAGTTTTAGATGAGAATGGTTCTATGTATAGGAGAAGTCGGGAGCACATCAGTAAGAGAGCTTTGGAGGAATCGAAAGAGCAAATAAATGTGTTGTATTCGTGGGAACGATGGTTGAGTTAAAAATGCGGCACGCTTGCTTATTTTAAGAATTACTTTATTTAACAAAAGCTTAAGACATACTAATACAAAATGGTGTCAATCTGTACACATGGAGATGGTAAAAAGAGAATGATGAAATTACAACGTATGAGTGTATGTATGTTATGCAGATGACATGAAAGAATAATAACAATGACATATGAAAGTGTAATAATGATATGGTTGCCATCTCTATATAAATAGTTACAACAGTTCTCCCTCACTTAAACGGAACATATTTTAATGTCGAATATAATCGCCAAAATACTGGGGGGGTCTACGTTGCCTTGCAGATGTTCGACGACTTGGGGTGTCTGCAACTTCAGACTCTTCATTGGAGTTTGACAGCTCTTCGGTATGTTGTCCGTTCCTTGAGGGCGATGCTGAAGATGATGTTGTAGGATCTGTGCATTCCAAATCTGGAGGAACTTCGCTTCCATCTGGTGGTACGTATGAGCTTATTACTGGTTGCTGGAAAAATGGTATACCCATTTGTTGAGTGTTGTTTGAAGGCGAATCGGAAGGTGAATTTTCCACAGTCTTTGGAATTGGCGTATTAGATAAACGGAGCTGGTTTATGTGGCGTTTGAAGACAAATCCATTGTCAAGCTTGATTATATAATGAAGATTACCTAGCTTCTTAGCTACCACACCGAATTTCCAAATCGATTTGTTGGCTGTGTAGTATCGCGCTTGCACTCGGTCTCCCTCACTTAATTTTCTTGCCGATGTTATTGTCGATTTGGTTGATGTTAATTTCAGTGGTTTTAGTGCATCTAATTGAATCTTTATTTGCCTTCCTAAATACATTTCTGAAGGGGTTTTTCCATTTCGGAGAGGTGTGGCCCGATATCTAAATAAAATTTCTCGAATTTTCGTCGACATTGTCGCGGGGTCATTTGACATCGATGTTAAACGTTGTTTTAATGTCTGGATGTTTCTCTCGGCTAGGCCATTTGTCGCAGGATGGCCTGGCGCAATAAATTTTTGGAAAATTCCGCGATGCCTACAAAATTTTGTGAATTCTTCACTTTTGAAAATTGTAGCGTTGTCAGAAACGACTACATCTGGAAAACCATTCCTTGAAAACATATTTTCCAATATTTGAATTGTTGATGATGAAGTTGGTGCAGAAGAAGATACTCCGACCTCAGCCCATTTTGAAGTCATCTGGAATGCTGGGAAAGAATGTATCACACTCGAATGTTGCATGAATCTTTGTCAAATACAAGCGATGGCAACGAGTTGATGCCATAGCTTCAGCATAAACACCACTACCACCGACAATCCACACGGTCTCAATTTGTTTGGTTACATTCTCATCTGTCTCAAGGAAATTCATTGCCGACTCCAAGTTGGGATATAGTAGCACATCAGATGGCAAATCGGAGGGTTTTAAAGTTGTACTTAAGACAATATTTAAACGTTCCGCCAATGGTCGTTTAGATTCGGGGACACCAAAATAGGTTTTTCTACCCATTATCACGACATTTCGTTTGGTTGGGTCACGAACACGCTTTGTAGTGCTGCTAAAATATTTCAATTCGGACCTGTTTTGGAGAAATAAAGTTGAATAATTAAATGCATTGAAAGCTCCATTCATTCCATACTCACTTTAGGCGCCATGGCAAATCACCCTTGAGTCCAATGCCAAAATTTTCACAAACGGCAACAATTAAACTGAATTTAAGCATGGTAGAACTAATAAAATCTCACAATATATTTCTTTACAGTGCAATAAACGCCAAAATCTTCTGATCTTGACCTTATCTGCTACAGACAGATTTTATTTTTCATGTATAAACAAGTGAAGATTATGATTTGGCGGTGAGAACAGCTTTCCTCGCAAACAAATTAAAACACAAAAGCAGCGACAACGCCGGGCGACTTAGAACAAATTGCTTTATAGCATGGTGCAATTAAAAGCTGTTGCATAACTGCCAGCTGATTATAATTTTTTCCAGGCTTCTGTCATTCTATGTTTATAATTATTAGGTGTGTCTGGTTACCCTAAAATTTGTAACAATTGTTACTGGAAGTCGTCTGTTAACCCGAAAGTTCTGCAAAAGAGAGCGGTTGAAGAGATAAATTTTGACAGTTCTTTCAGTGAGAGTTTGCAAATTCTTGCTGGACAAATTTCTTCTTGCAATAGGTGTGTCTGGTTACCCTAAAATTTGTAACAATTGTTACAAATTGTTACTGGAAGTCGTCTGTTAACCCGAAAGTTCTGCAAAAGAGAGCGGTTGGAGAGAGAAATTTTGACAGTTCTTTCAGTGAGAGTTTGCAAATTCTTGCTGGAAAAATTTCTTCTTGCAATCTCTTGCAACTCTTCTTCTTCCATTCATCGACATTCAATCAGATGTTTTCTATTGTTTATTTATTTCTTTTTGTGATTTTAATTTGAAAATATTGTTTTGGAATTAGCAAGACTAATTGTTTTTGGAGAACAACTGTACAAAATGTGAAAAACGTAAATGTTAATATGTAATAAGAAAATAAAAGACTATTTCCAACATTTTTATTTAAAAAACTTGTAAAATTAGTATTGGTTCCTTTGTTTTAATTCTCCTTATGGGGGACTGTTGTATGTATATATAAATATTTGTAAGAGTATATGTAATGCATAAGCATTACATATACTCACAACAATTACTACTTTAGTCTTAAAACATTTAATGTAATGGTAGAAACAGATCATAAGCCATTAGTGACATTATTTGATAAACCAAGGTGTCAAGGTGTCAAAGTCTAGCGCGTCAGACCGTATATTGGCCAAACATGAATAGTGAAATTGAAAATCTTGTATCTAATTGTGAGGTGTGTTTGAAATACAAAAAATCGAATACTAGACCAGAGATTTTGCCACACGAAATTGTAGATATCCCATGGTATAAAGTGGGATGCGATCTTTTTGAATACAAAAACAGAATGTATATACTTGTTGTCGATTATTATTCAAAGTATATAGAAGTCGAATATCTTAATAATGGCTATAATAGTAAGAACGTGATTACTAAGTTAAAATCCTTATTTGCACGACATGGAATTCCTAACATCTTTGTGTCAGACAATGGTCCGCCTTTTAGTTCAAAGGAATTTAAAGTTTTTTGTCGCGAGTGGGAAATTGAACATGTCACATCAAGTCCATTTTTACCAAGATCTAATGGCTTAGCACAACGGTCTGTGCAGACAGTCAAGAAAATGTTATTAAAATCGTCCGAGAGTAATTCTGATCCCTATGTTGCTTTATTGCACTACAGAACAACGCCAAAAGGTAATATGCCTAGTCCTTCTGAATTGCTTATGTCTAGGTCCTTACGCACTAAAATTCCATCAATGTTAATTCATCACGAGCCAAAAGTAGTTGACAAAAATGAATATAGGACAAAAATAGAGACAAACTTAAAGAAAACTTCAGAATACTATAATAAAAAGTCAAAGTTTTTAGAGCCAGTTGGTGAAGGCGATAAGGTCATGTTTAAGAAAACCCCATCCAGCTATTGGCAACCTGGGCAAATTATAGAAACGTGCAAAGAACCAAGGTCTTTTGTAGTTTTAGATGAGAATGGTTCTATGTATAGGAGAAGTCGGGAGCACATCAGTAAGAGAGCTTTGGAGGAATCGAAAGAGCAAATAAATGTGTTGTATTCGTGGGAACGATGGTTGAGTTAAAAATGCGGCACGCTTGCTTATTTTAAGAATTACTTTATTTAACAAAAGCTTAAGACATACTAATACAAAATGGTGTCAATCTGTACACATGGAGATGGTAAAAAGAGAATGATGAAATTACAACGTATGAGTGTATGTATGTTATGCAGATGACATGAAAGAATAATAACAATGACATATGAAAGTGTAATAATGATATGGTTGCCATCTCTATATAAATAGTTACAACAGTTCTCCCTCACTTAAACGGAACATATTTTAATGTCGAATATAATCGCCAAAATACTGGGGGGGTCTACGTTGCCTTGCAGATGTTCGACGACTTGGGGTGTCTGCAACTTCAGACTCTTCATTGGAGTTTGACAGCTCTTCGGTATGTTGTCCGTTCCTTGAGGGCGATGCTGAAGATGATGTTGTAGGATCTGTGCATTCCAAATCTGGAGGAACTTCGCTTCCATCTGGTGGTACGTATGAGCTTATTACTGGTTGCTGGAAAAATGGTATACCCATTTGTTGAGTGTTGTTTGAAGGCGAATCGGAAGGTGAATTTTCCACAGTCTTTGGAATTGGCGTATTAGATAAACGGAGCTGGTTTATGTGGCGTTTGAAGACAAATCCATTGTCAAGCTTGATTATATAATGAAGATTACCTAGCTTCTTAGCTACCACACCGAATTTCCAAATCGATTTGTTGGCTGTGTAGTATCGCGCTTGCACTCGGTCTCCCTCACTTAATTTTCTTGCCGATGTTATTGTCGATTTGGTTGATGTTAATTTCAGTGGTTTTAGTGCATCTAATTGAATCTTTATTTGCCTTCCTAAATACATTTCTGAAGGGGTTTTTCCATTTCGGAGAGGTGTGGCCCGATATCTAAATAAAATTTCTCGAATTTTCGTCGACATTGTCGCGGGGTCATTTGACATCGATGTTAAACGTTGTTTTAATGTCTGGATGTTTCTCTCGGCTAGGCCATTTGTCGCAGGATGGCCTGGCGCAATAAATTTTTGGAAAATTCCGCGATGCCTACAAAATTTTGTGAATTCTTCACTTTTGAAAATTGTAGCGTTGTCAGAAACGACTACATCTGGAAAACCATTCCTTGAAAACATATTTTCCAATATTTGAATTGTTGATGATGAAGTTGGTGCAGAAGAAGATACTCCGACCTCAGCCCATTTTGATTTGGCATCTACTACTACCAAAAAGAAATACCCTTGATACGGTCCTGCGTAATCAATGTGAATACGCTGCCAATTGGTTTCAGGTTCTTCCCAGGGGTGTAGGACCACTTTTGGAGGGCTCTTCTTCACTTCTGCACAAGCAGAACACTTCCGTACAAAGTTTTCGATATCTCTATCGATTGATGTCCAATACACATATCGTCTTGCCAATTGTTTCATCTTTGTGATGCCAATATGTGTGTAATGGAGTTCTTCCAAAACAGATTGTTGAAGTGTGGCTGGAACGACTACCCTCGCTCCTCTAAATAAAATGTTGCAATCAATTGTGAATTCGGAGTCAACAATATTCGATTTTTGCAATGTGTTGATGATTTTCGAGAGTTTTTCATCTCTTTTTGTTGCTTCACGAAGAGCGTTGAAGTTTAATTTTATAGAATTGATTTGTTGAATAGTTGATACGCATATAGAATGCACTTCATTATCAAGAAAATTTAAAGTTTGAGTACCTATTTCCAATGGTGCCCTAGATAGGCAATCCGCATTCACGTTTTCCTCGCTCCTCTTAGTGACGACTTCATAGTTATAACCTGTTAAAAATGTTGCGTACCGCTGAAGTCGCGAAGATGTCATTTGAGGCAATTTCGAATGTTGGTGGAATATTCTTGACAATGGCTGGTTATCCGTGATCAATTTGAATAGTCTGCCGTAGACGTATTCATGGAAGTGTTGTACAGCGTAAACAATAGCTAACGCTTCTCTATCTAATTGAGAGTAATTTTTCTCCGCCGACGTTAGCGACCTCGAAGCGAACGCTATGGGTCTTTCTTCATCGTTTATGATGTGCGACAACACTCCTGCTATCCCTGTGGGACTAGCGTCACATGCAAGCTGCAATGGTAAATCGGGGTTGAAAAGTGTTAGTACACGATCACTAGCGATTTCTGCTTTTAATGTTT